ACCCACGCTGGGAGACTAAATGCTACGACCAGAACAAAGTGAGCACCTACATTTAGCGGTACCACCAGAGTACCAGCCGATCTTAAGTCTATAACAACTTGTTTATTTATTTTCCCCTTGTTACCTCGCTCAATTTAGCCATTTTAAAAACAGTTTTCTGGTAAAATATTCTTGCTAGGCAGAAGTTGCTCCAATGTCATCTGCTTTTCTAAGTACTAAATAGAAAGTAAGGAATCATTAATGTCAAATACCAACACCTTTACGTGTCATAAAAGAAACAAAATAAAATGCATTTTTAGTGCAAAGTTAACTTGAATGGAAAAACTTTGGTTTATCACTGTTGTAATATGTGGCCATATGAAAGGGCAAATTACACTACCCTTCTACTACCTGTGCAAGATTTATCACCTACTTTGGATCATTTTCTCTTTAGTTGCTATGAATTCAGTAACCAGGGAAGAAGCGAGTTTCGTAGAATCCTTTAGGTTGGAAAAGACCTTTAAGATAACTGAGTCCAACCATTAACCCTGTCAAGCCCACCACTAAACACATGTCCCCAAGTGCCACATCTACACATCTTTTAAATATTTCCAGGGACAGTGACTCAACCACCTCCCTGGGCAGCCTGTTCCAATGCTTAACAACTCTTTCGGTGAAGAAATTTTTCCTAATATCCAACCTAAACCTCCCCCGGTGCAACTTTAGGCCATTTCCTCTCATCTTATGGCTTGTTACTTGGGAAAAAGAGACCAACACCCACCTCGCTACAATCTTCTTTCAGGTAGCTATAAGAGAGCAATAAGGTCTCCCCTCAGCCCCCTTTTCTCCAGGCTAAACAATCCCAGTTCCCTCCACCACGCCTCAAAAGATTTGTGCTCAAGACCCTTCACCAGCTTCACTGCTCTCTGGACATGCTCCAGCACCTCAATGTCTTTCTTGTAGTGAGGGGTCCAAAACTGAACACAGTATTTGAGATGTGTCCTCACCAGGGCCGAGTACAGAGGGACAATCACTTCCCTAGTCCTTCTGGCCATAATATTGCTGATACAAGCCAGGATGCTGTTGGCCTTCTGGGCCACCTGAGCACACTGCTGGCTCATGTGCAGCTGGCTGTAGACCAACACCCCCAGGTCCTTTTCCGCCAGGATTGTTGCCACCCAACAACAGGACCTGCACTCAGCCTTGTTGAACCTCAAACAATTGGGCTCAGCCCATCAATCCAGCCTGTCCAGATCTCTCTGTAGAGCCTTCCTACCCTCAAGCAGATCAACACTTCCACCCAAGTTGGTGTCATCTGCAAACTTACTGCAGGTGTACTCGATCTCCTTGTCCACATCACTGATAAAGATATTAAACAGAACTGGCCCCAGTTCTCCACTGGGGAACTTATGACTGGCCACCAACTAGATTTAAGTCCATTCACCGTAACTCTTTGGGCCTGGCCGTCCAGCCAGTTCTTTACCCAGCAAAGAGTACACCCATCCAAGCTATGAGCAGCCAGTTTCTCCAGGAGAATTTTGTGAGAAACGATGTCAAAGGCTTTACTAAAGTCTAGGTAGACAACACCCATAGCCTTTCCCTCATCCACAAAGCAGATAACCGTGTCATAGAAGGAGATCGGATTGGTCAAGCAGGACCTGCCTTTCATAAACTCATGCTGACTGGGCCTGGTCACCTGGTTGTCCTGTATGTGCCACCTGATGGCACTCAAGATGATATGCTCCATTAACCTTTCCTGGCACTGAGGTCAGACTGACAGGCCTGTAGTTCCCTGGATCCTCCTCCCAGCCCTTCTTGTAGATGGGTGTCACATTTGCTAACTTCCAGTCAACTGGGACCTCCCTGGTTAGCCAGGACTGCTGATAAATGGTGGAAAGGGGCTTGGTGAGCACTTCTACCAACCCCATAGACGTGTGTGTGTGTCTAAGTGGTGTAGCAGATGGCTAACCATTTCCCCTTGGATTACAAGTTCTTCATTCTGCTCCCCGTCTCTGTCTTCCAGCTCAGGGCGCTGAGTGCCCAGAGAACAACTGGTCTTACTATTAAAGACCGAGGCAAAGAAGGCATTAAGTATCTCAGCCTCTTCCTCATCCTTTGTCACTACTGCTTTCCCCTGCATCCAGTAAAGGATGGAGATTGTCCTTAGCCTTCGTTTTGTTGTTAATGTATTTACACAAACACTGTCTTTTACGGCAGTAGCCAGATTAAGTTCTAGTGGGGCTTTGGTCCTTCTGATTTTTTCCCTGCATAAGCTCAAGACATCCTTGCAGTCCTCCTGAGTGGCCTACCCCTTCTTCCAAAGGTCATAAACTCTATTCTTCCCCAAGTTCCAGCCAAAGCTCTCTGCTCAGCCAGGCTGGTTTTCTTCCCCACCAGGGAAGACTTTGGCACATGTGGACGGCCTGCTCCTGCGTCTTTAAGATTTCCTTCTTGAATAATGTCCAGCCTTCCTGGACTCCTTCCGGCTTTCAGGACTGCCTCCCAAGGAACTCTGTCAAACAGAGGCCAAACTCTGCCCTCTGGAAGCCCCAGGCCGCAGTTCTGCTGACCCCCTCCTTGCTTCTCCATGTGATTTACTTTCAAAGCACTCTAAATTAGCAGACAAGAGCATCCCGAGCCCAGCGGGGAGGCTGCCAGGCACCGGACCGAACACGCCGCCCGCGGCGCAGCCGCC